TCTCTCTCTCTCTCTCTCTCTCTCGATAACATTGATAACTTAATAATTTATATTGTAATGAGTTTAATCGTGCTCAATTTTCACTAAAACGGTTTATCAACCTTGGTTATATTCTGGAATTTAGTGCATTATTGGTGCGGAATGTCGGTGCTGTTTTACTACTTCATGGACAACACAATTAGCAAATACCGAGTCCAGTATAATGGACAGGACTGCCATAAATAAATGCTACTTGGTGTAACTGACCACATCACACGGTATAACAACTCTTCCCAGACTTCACTTTACGGACAGTCAGCTTATAGTAAACATTATTTAATACTAATTTAATAATTAATTATTCATTCGCGGAATTGTTTGTAATAATTACTAGAAGTGACTGTTTTGTCGTAATATGTATAAGTTAGTTATAAAATATATTTCAATACATATGACACTTGTATTGAACTACCCTACGTTCACCTGAACTGAAATATATTTTATAACTAACTTATACATATTACGACAAAACAGTCACTTCTAGTAATTATTACAAACAATTCCGCGAATAAATAATTAATCATTAAATTAGTATTAAATAGTATTTATATATAGTATATATTATATAACTCGTAGAATATTTTATACTTTAATAGTAATTAGAGTTAATAATAATTTTTTTAAATAGCGTAGTGCAATAAAAGTAAATAGACCATGATTTCCATAATTATTTTACTAGCAAGTTTACTATTTGCATATTATATATGTTTGTTTTATCTGAAAACTCGTCAATACCCCCCTGGGCCAACACCACTGCCATTAATTGGCAATGTTTTGAGTCAGTATAAATGATCATAAAATAAGCATAAACAATTTGTCAAAAATTAACTATATACTGTATTAATACATATTAATATTTATATTCATAAAACAATTATAGTGTTAAGACATTTTAGACAACACTGGAATAAGGAGCTGACAAAATTGTACCAGATATATGGTCCGGTGATCACCCTATGGTTGGGTCCCATGCCTATTGTGTTCATAGGGGACGTGGACGTGGCCCGGGAGGCGTTCGCCAAAATCGAATTAACCGGGCGAACTAACCTTGAACTTGGTAACCCTTATATGATTATCACAATAATTATACCATAAATATTTATAACCCTTATACATAATTTCTAAAACATTTAATTAAGATGCTATTGACCTAGTTGTGATTTAAACTATTTTTAGCCTGCTTATATTGTAATGAAAAGCACCAGGATTTCTCTTTAAATAACAATATGGCCAGTTGGTGGGCACTACGAAACGTTATGCACAAAGCTATTAGGTTTGTCAGGTCTACCAATATATGACGCAATCATTAATAAACTTCGATCAGGAAATACGCTAAATGTAATGACTTGTCTGGAGTGGTGGACACCATAGTCACCGATATGACCGCCAACATGATCGCCACTAATCAGCCCATTAATCCTACGATATTTGCGTACAATATGAGCATGAGCATAATGGGACATTTCATTTTAAATGAAAAGTGCGTATATATACACACCCATCAAATCATGATATCGGTGTTTGATATGAATGTCGACAATACATGAATATATCTGAGAAGCCAATGACAATAATGTATCAGAAAAAATGCTATAATCTTAATCTTTCAATATTAATTTTATGAAAGATTAAGATACGCTATTGGCATTGGCTTCGCAGATACTTTATCTATAAATGAATATATTTATCTATCGCCAAATTGACCAGGTTCACTGTGGGACATAAATATTTTCAAAAGTTCCACTCGTGTGCCATTTCGGACTTTATAAAGGGTGTCGGTTTGCCATACGTTTTGTACGAATTGCTACCATTTAGTCGCTATTTTATGGCTAACCCTATGACACCATTAGCTGAATGTCTCGCTGAGTGTAGAGATTATACACGCAATCGATACACACATCATAGGATACAACACACTGACAGCAATGATAACAACAGCTTTCATAACGTATTAATCGATTGTATTAATCGTGAGGTGGGAGAGGGCCGGGAGTCTGTCAAACATCTAACGGACGATAACATCGCGTCGAGTTTGATTGATGTGTTTCTTGGTAATTATACCCCATAATTACCTATATGAGCCATGCACTTTATTTAGTTTGTTTATTCAGTGAGTTTAACAAGGAATTCGGTCATTTGATCTAGCAGTCATTTGACCTAGAAATTCAAACACGTTATTTTTGGATGCAAACATTTTTAGGTTAGGTTAGGTTAAGTAAGGAATTCGAAAATAACGTTTAAAAATAAATTCGTCCATAAATAACGTAGTTATGTAAAGACGTACTTTATGATTTTTTTTGAAAAAGTTTATTTTTTGTTCATGAGTTGCATGAGGGTAAAAGTGCAATTTTGAATATTTGTAGGTCAAATGACTACTAGGTCAAATGACCCAAGACCGTATAATACATTTAAAAATTTAACAAATAATTACCTTAACACTTAATATAAATATTTAGTATGTTACTCATAATACAATGAGTAAGTTAAACATAAAAGATTTTGTTAATTTAAAACATTTTCGATATAATTACCAATAATGGCACATATGATACCAAATGCTGGTATAATAGCCGGTAAATTAGCGCACCATTTGTAAACAATATTGAATGCATTAGGTTGAATGTCACTAGGTACAATTTCTTGACTAAAATAAATAATAAAAGTAATTGTTATTATATAATGTAAAGTAACTAATATTTTTATATTATTTTCAAATACCTTACGGAATTGTAATA